GGCGGGCGGGGGTGTAGGGCCGGACCTGTTGCTGGCGGTGCAGCAGTGCGTGGGGCTAGGGTTCGAATACTGCTAGGGGTGTCTTTGAACGACCCGTCTTTATTGTGCATTACAGTTGCCGTGTGACGGGTCGGGGGTGTTTTTGTGTCGGACACAAGCGGGCGGGCGTCGCCCCGAGGCAGCCGTCAGCCGTCGACCCTTGGCAGTCGGCGCGGGGAAACCGCGGCATCAACGTGGCCGGCTGTCACTCTGCTACCCCCCCCCCCTCCTCCCCGAGCACCACCCTGTCCCCGCGGCCACGGCGGGGTGGTCAGGACGCCGACAAACACGCTCCCTCCAGGTGGCGTGCAGGACACACCCACCCGTGACACACGTGCAAGCACACGTGGCACCGGGGCCGGCCGAGGGGCCGCAGCGCCAGGGCACGCGGCGGCCAGGAACTCAACTACGGTCCACAGCCGAGTCCGCCGCGCCGAGCCGTAGCGAGCCACGCTGTCAAGCGCGGCCGATCCGAGCCGAGCACGGCCGAGTCCGCCGCTGCCGACGTCGTCGTCGTGGAAAACACGCATTTTTCGGTGCCGTTGGTTCAGCGCGGGGCCTCGAGGTGGCGCTACCGTCGGTGTTTTTCTCTTTTCCCCCCACCAGGCGCCACCGCCACAGAAAGCTGTCAATACGCCGCTCCGCTCCGCGCGGGCCCGCTACCTCCCCTCTCGCTTGCTCCCCATTTTTTCCCCGACGAGTTGCTCTGCTCTCCGTCATCCCACCGGCCAGCCCGGGCCGGCCCCGCCTGGATGGTGTAGGCCGGCTGATACCCGGGCCCTACCCTGACGGCCGAAGCCCATGCGAAGCGCTCGCCACTCGCTACGGCTATCTCGCTCCCCTCGCTTACTCACTCCACTTCCTCGATACGTGCCCACATGACAAAGTGCAATCCCCGTTGAGAGGGATGTGCCGGCGCATGTCCTGCAGACGGGTCGGGGCTGGGCGGGAGCGCGCGCGCCTGAGGCACGTCCCCGACGACGCCCGACGCGCCGCGCCTTGAGTCCTCCAGGCCGGCCGCGGCCGGGGCGTCGGTCGCGCCCCATGACAAGCCCGCCGTCGCGGCGCCCACACCGCGCGTAGCCCGGGTCGACAGCCTACAGGTACCCGTTGGTACCCGTTGGCGTGGCAGCGGCAGCCCCGCTCCGCCGACGCGGCGCCCCGCTAGCCCGGCCGGCGCGCGCAGCCTAGGAGCCGCCTTCGGCCAGCCTTACCTGGAGTGGGCAGGGTGGCCGTTGGTGTTCTTCTGGTCCTGCCTGTCGTCGCCATGCATCGAATCGCTCATGTTAAAATCGCTCTCCTCTTCGAACGCCATGGTGTATCCGTATGGAGCACTTGGTGGGACACAGCGGTGTGTGACACGCACACACACACTCACTCACACACACACGCACTAACGCCGCGCTCGCACGCACTCACGCACTTCGCTCGTCTCGCGCCAGCCGTTCCGCCGTACCGCACCGCTCGGCTCTCACTGGATGCCTCGCCGGGCCGGTACATAGCGCGCCGCTCCGCGCGGCGGCGGCGGTGGTGGTGGTAGCGGCAGCCGCCACCCCTCTCTACCCCCACCCCGCCCCGCGCCGCCAGCCCACAGCCCGCCAGCAGCGCGGGGCAGACCGGGCAGCCGGCCCCGCGCGCCAGCCCACTCCGAAAGTCGCGGGGTTAGTGCTGCCGTCGGTTGGAGGAGATTGAAGAAGCAGCGATCTTCACCACGACCCATCCCATCTCGAGCCCTCGGCCCTTGGCGGGACCCTGCAGGGCCCTGCGGCCAGCGCTGCCACTGCGCGTGGCTTGAGGGGCCTAAGTGCCTGGGGGCCCTGCCCCGCCCCGGCCACGCCCCGCCTGCACTTGTTGCTGTGGATGCATCGCGCCAACTGCAACACCTAACACAGGTGGGGCCGAGGCCCGCGGCCGCCCGGCCCGCCACGCCCCTCACCGGTACTCGTACCCCTTCTCTTCCCGTCCAATTTGCTCTTCTCCCCGTCTCCCCACTCCCACCCCACCGCCCTCTCGACTTATTAGCTTCGATTTGCGGCCCGGCCATGGACCGCGACATGAAGGGCATTACGCCTCAAATACTGTCTCCCGAGCAGGCCGTGGAGGCCATGATGCGCACTGCCCGCAGCGGGACGGCTGCCTTCTCGCCACGGTCTCGTCCCCCGCCCGGCCCGCGGAGTGGTGAGGTGGACCCGCAGAGGCCCACGGGGACCCGTTAGATTGCAGCGCGAGGTCTGGTCGGGCCTGCCACCGTCAGGCCGTACAGTAGCGCCGACGCGTGTACAGTGCTCTCTGCACTTGCGGCTATTATAGTGCCCGAGGTCACTTATGCGCGGCACTGATTCACACTTTTCGCGCACAAGTTCACCCCCTGGGCTGCTTTGCCTGCAGTTTTAAGAGTCTTAATCACATGATCTTAAGGCCCAACAGTTTTTGAAGGCCGCGTGGTGCCACAAGCGGGACTTGCTCCGTTGCAGCACGCACGCATAGGTAAAGGATTGCTCGCTGGTCGCGGAGGCGGTAGAACACCACTATATTGGCGCCGGGCTCAAGTTGCCGGGCAGCTCGGGTCGGGGCGCGGCGCGTCCTGTGTCGGCCTTCAGCGACCTTGCAGCGGCGGCGCATAGGACAGGGTCCTCCTTATGGTTCACGGTGGAGGTTGAACGTCTCGCACTGGTCCTCTACATGCACGGCGTGCGTTTCGAAGCCTGCCACGCCAGGCCGCAGCTGCTCAACAGGTTATAGGGCAGGGCCCGGCAGAGCGGGCGCCTCGCGTCGGCTCGGCGAACGCATGCCCCTCCTCGGCGGCGCCGTGCGCGGCGTCGTCCGCCCGCGGTATTGATCCACGCGCTCCGGTACCAAAACAAGCACCGCTACCCCTCCCGCCCCGCCGCGCGGCGCGCCCCGCCCGACCGCGCCAGAAAAGGGGAACAAAATATGACTGGAAGAAACGCCCCGGGGGAGTGGAGAATGAAGCGCCGGGGGTGGAATACCCGCGGGGGAGATGAGCCGGGGGGAACGCCCCGGCGCGCAATGGACGAACCATGCCCCGCCCCGCCCTGCCCCGCCCAGCTACGGTACTTTGTGCAGCGCACAACCACGACCACAACTACACCCTCCCAGGTAGCAGGTAGCGCGCATATTTTTCGGAAAACGCCAATCTCCGGATGGACGCTTCTTTCTTTCTTTTCTTTCCCCGGAACGCTGGGGCGCCCCACCCCGAGGACGTTCACCTGGGAGGAGCGCATGCCTCCGGGCGGCTCGCCCCGCCTCGCCTCGCCACGCTTCGCCCCGCCACGCCCGGGGCTGGATTCGATCGTTGGCTCGCCACTTTGGTCGCTTTGCCGGGGCGGGTGCTGCACAGGGCGCGGCGGCAGGGCAACGACTGGAGCGCACAAGACATTGCACCCTGCGCCCCGCTGCGCCCCGACGCCCCCCGGCCGACGCCGGGCTAAATCACTGCGGGTGAGGCAGGGGTGGGCGCAGGGGCGAGCGCAGGCAGGGGCGGGCGCGGCGCCCCTCTCACCGGTCACTGGCCCCTCACGAGCCCCTCCGTCTGCGTCCCCCACCCCTGTGATGGCGGGGTGGCGCCTGGACGGTGGCGGGGCGTAGCGTGGGTGGTCACGCACAGTATTGCTTTTCATCGCCGCCCCCATCCGTCGTCGTCACTTCTTCGTCCCCTCTTCGTCCGTCATTTCTTTACCTCCAGCCGTTGCGGTGCTCTTCCCCGGTGCCTTCTGGACTCCTGAAAGAACAGGGGAGCGTCATGAGTTTATTTCCAGAGATGAGACGGTGTACCGGGTGTCCCGGCTCTTACATGCCAGTATGGCAGGTTGCATACGCGTTGGCTCGCAGGCGCTGTCGGGAGCGCGCAGGATTTCGCGCATCCCCCGCGGTTCCACGCGGAGGCTCACGGTGCCGTGGGGATGTCCGGAATCCTTGGCGCGCCCGACAGCGCCTGCGAGGCGGTGCCTATGCAACCCACATTACTGGCATGTAAGAGCCGGGACACCCGGTACACCACAGGCGATTTTTCCAGGGGCAATCCTTACCTTCTCTTGGTGCCCCCAGCCACGGAGGGCTCCACGACCAGCCTGGATCCCATGAACGTGGAGTCTGAAACACACACAAGGCCGGATGAGTGTCGGAGAACGACACAGGCGCACATGCTCCTCGGCGGAGGGGGTGGGGGGAGGAACGGAGGGAGCAGTGGCAAGTACGCCTGCCACCGGAACTCCAAAAATAAACCGCGCCGGCCGAACGCTCGGGAAAACGCTCTTCTCCTCCCGCCGGTGCTTCCGCAACGCGCCCCGAACGAGAGTAGAGTCCGTCCGCTACATTGTTGCAAGCAGGGCAATCTGCTCTTGCCCACTTCCTGGAAACGAGGTGCGTTTTGTGTTTACCCGTCCGCCTGGCCCGTTTGGAGACAGCAGACGAGCTGGGCTTGGCATGGGCACGGGCACACCACTCTGACCGCTGAGCTCGAGGAGGAGGAGGCGGAGGAAGGGGAGGGGGCTTAGCGCAGCCCAGGCGCAGCCGACCAGAGCACGACGGCGGACGGCGGGGCGACCCGCATAGTCGCGAAAGTTTGCACATACTTCGAGGGGTGGCTGAGGGGGAGAGTGGTGGCGGCGGCGGTGGTAAATGTGTTTTGCTCGAACCTCGCTGCGTGAACAAACGCAAAACGAACGGGCTCCCTCTCGCCGGGGTCCATCCCGCACAGCCCTTTTCCCGACTATAGTTCCGCCCGTTTCCAGAACGGCCCGGGTCGACCACCCAGCAGCCGCGACCGTTAGGACCCGCGACCTGACCGGCGGCGCCGACCAGCAGCATCAAACCTGTTGCACTAACTCCCATACGCCAACGCCCCGCGTTCTTTCTTTTTCAGCATGCGCCGTTTGGAAAAACCGGCGCGGTGGCAGTGAAGCTTCGGACCGGCCGGCTACCGCCTCGCCCACGGACCGGGAACGAGCCCGGCATGGCCTGGCATGGCTGAAGGTCGCCACCGGACGCCGCGGATACCGCCAAGCCGTGCCACGCCCCGCCCGGGCCTGCTCCTCAAAAACCGTGCGCAGTGCCGTAGTCCCACAGTCCCCGCAGTCCAGTGCCCAGCACCCC